AAAATCACTTAATCTATCAAAATCATTAAACTTTATTTTGTATAAAAAAAAAATCACTTAATAAATCTAACACTAAATATAGTATTCAACATAACAAAATATATATTTGTCTCAAGTAATCATGAACCCAAAAATAAATAAAATGATAAAAACTATTTATTAGTAGAGAAATTTCAGAAATAGCACTATAGCTATAGTTTTGGTAATAGTGCTCGATTTGTATATTTCGCTTGCAAATAAACAAACAGGAAAAGTATATACATATGAAGCCTGTGATTTATATATTTTGCTTGCCCGTTTGTATATAAATTCTGTAATTATACATTTAGAAATTTTTCAGAACTCTGTATATTTCGCTTGCCAATATACAAACAGGATAAGTATATACATATGAAGCCTGTGATTTATATATTTTGCTTGCCTGTTTGTATATAAATTCTGTAATTATACATTTAGAAATTTTTCAGAACTCTGTATATTTCGCTTGCCAATATACAAACAAGGTAATTTACTATGAATTTTTCATAAATCGTATACAAATAGGTAGGGTAAGCATATACAAATTTTGGATTTATACAATCAAGAATCAAATTATACAAATTCTGAATTTATACAATCAAGATTGAATTGTACAAATTCTGAATTTATAGAATTAGGAAATCGAATAGCAAAATTTCGCGAAATAGCCACGGATTAAAAATAATCGAAACTATAGCTATATTACATAATATACTCTAGATATTTGTTATTTCACATAATTTTCCCTTATTATTATACCCGACCCATCCACAAATTGGCTTTAAGCTTTGTCCAGGCCTATTTGATCTTATCAACGACATTTTTTAATTCTTGGGTGTTGAAGTCTTTTAATCCATTCTTAATAGATTTCAGCCTCCTCGTACATGTCCTGCATCCCTCTTATTGGAATGCTCTAATTAACCAATTCTTTATCCACATAACCAAAAACTACATTAATTTTTTTTTTTTTAAAAACACTCAAATACTTCTATCATAATTTAGTCGTTCCATATGCTTAATTTTTAGAAAAACTACATGATTTGATTATACAAATACTTCTATCATAATTACTATTCTACCTATAATTTGAAATAGTTATATATTGTCTCACTAACTAATAATTTCATACCAGATTTCAACTTAGATACATATATTTTGCTATCAAATACACTAAAATAGGGAAAGAGGCAAGTGAGAAAGGAGGGAGACGAGTGAGATAGTCTATGTATCCCAGATATATGTGAATCACACTAGATACATGTATGTGGGATACCATGACATTATGGAATACATATACATAGGGAGAGAGGCGAGGCAGAGAGGAGAGTGACGAGTGAGATAGGAGAGAGAGAGTGAGAGAGGAGAGTGATGAGTGAGATAGGAGAGAGGCGAGAGTCATATACATGTGAATCCATTTGGATACAGTGTATCTAGGACAAATTACACCTAATTTTGAATCCATATATCTGAACTCCAAATTCTGGTAAGAAACATAATATTATAAACTAGCATAAATCTAAATAATTAGCTCCTAAAATAGTGAAATTTATGTTAATTGCCCTTAATTTTTTGTGTACATTACTTTTGTGTTTTATCTAATAACTAACTACTAAAAAGAGTGACTTGTCTTGATCTCATTGTTACATGGGCTTTTAATGCCCTACACATCAACTCAACATGAAATCTCTCTCTTCACAAATTGTGCACGTTTTGAATAAGGCAGTTGACAATTTTAATTCACACAAGATAATTTGTGCATTAATTATTGGGAAAATTTTCAAAACAACAATATTTAGCCTTGAGTGGGACTCCTTAGCAATAGTTTAACTATTTATTAAAAATAGCAATATTTTAGTTTGTTAAATGATTAGTTATGTATTTATTTTATTTTGATTAATTTAAAAGAATACAAATACTTAATAACAGTAAAGAGAAAATCATGGAACATAAAGTTTTAAAAAAATAGAAAACGATTTTAAAACTATTTCAGTTACTTTTTGAAAAGCTGAGATGTTGCCATTTTTTATGTCAAGCGTTTTTTTTTCTCTTCCCTTCTTCATAATTCCAAAAAAATAACTTTGATGTAATAGTTTTGTCTTCCGAATTAAACAATTGATAATATTCATAGTTTCTTCGAACCGAATTCGGCATATTCTTTAAACGGATGTTTTCGAATTCCACAAAAATAATTACGTCAGTTCCATTGGATTCAACAAATTTATTCAATTCCATTGGATTGAATAAATTTCAAAATCAGGTTATTCTTTGTAGTACTTGTGGGTTTAAGGGGCACAATAGGCGTTCGTGTAGGAATGGACCGCGTATTATTTAGTTAATGATGCTTCAATTTTATGTATCTTATTAGAGTGGAATGTTTCCCAATTTCTAATGCCCTCTGTTTTATATAATTGTATTCCCTTCTAATGCCCTATGTTTTATATATTAGAGTGGAATGTTTCCCAATTTCTAATTTCCTAGAATTCTTTGAACATGTTTTCACTCGAAATGTAATCATTTCCATGTTATGTATATATATATATATTTTTGTATTTATGCGTAATTACTTTAAATAATTGTAACTGAAAAAATTGTATCAGTCATAAAAAAAATACAAATTAGTAGTAAAACTAATAAAATAATACTGAAAATACATTTTTTGGTGAAATACATTTTTTTGTGAATACATAACAAATATATTGAGTTGTATTCAAACTAAATTGTATTTATATTTCAATAGCAAGTGTTGTTTTATTATTATTTTTTTACTTTAAAATTGTACTTACTATTTCTCTTGATAAGTTATATTACAAAAATTCATGATGTATTTCAATATCAGTTAGTATCCCAAAACATCAAGATGTATTTCAATATCATTTTGTATTCCCTTCTTGTAATGTATTCATCGCAATTTTATATATTGTGTATTCATCAAACTTATCTTGTTAATACTACTATGATTAAAACTGACAGAGAGTATACACATGAATACCAAAAAATGTATTCTTACTAATAAATACAAAACATTAAAATTATGAATAAAAAAGTTAAAGAGTTTTTACAGTAATAAAAACTCAACTTTATAACTTTAGAAAAGCAACCATAAATCATCTGGCCAAATGTCTTTTACCTTACTACAACACGGTTGCCACATTGACTATAAAACTTGTACAATATGCACATGAATATAAGACCAAAACTTCAAAACATTAAAATTATCAAGAAAAAAAAAATTAAAGAGTTTTTACATTAATAAAACCAGAACTTGATAACTTTTTAGAAGAGTTCCATAGCAATACAAAAATTAATGTATATTAACTAAGAATATTGAAAACACACCAAAAATATAACAATGACTAATCTACAAAATCTGAAAAATTAAAAGAAAATAACAAAAAAAATTGAAATTCACAAATATTTGATGAATAACTAAACAAAATCACATAAAAATTGGAAAATTTGACTGAAAATTCGTAATATATAGAATCAGTGATATAAACATCAAATCAGAATAAATCAAAATGGATAATGGAAATTACCTTGCTAATCGAGAAATCTGCTTGAATTACTAAATAGATTTTCATTTAACAATAAAGAAGATTTCTTGATGAACAACAATTTAGCACCTTTAAAAAAGATAAACGTGAAAGCTGGGGAAGAAACGTGAATAGTGGGGAAGAAACGTGAATGGTGATGAAAAAAGGTTAATGTGTATTAGTTTAATTTTTTTCTTTAAACCGTTATTGGTATACAATTTGGTCCAATAAATGACTCTTTCCCTAAATAAAATTAATTTTATTTACTAAAATCTGAATACATATTATTTTATAAAAATATTGTCATTCTATCATTTTAAATAAATATTTTAAAGTGTTGTTATTATGACTTAATTGCTAATTTTCCTTAATTTTATTTCAAAGCTTATGGGTCTCTATCTCTTTGTTACTTTTAGTTGTCCACCAAATTTTTGTGTTAAATTAGGCCATCAAAAGGCAATTTGAAATTTGGGTAAAGACCATAAGAGCCCTTAGGTTTATCAAAATTCAAAAGGTATCACCTAGATTTCAATTGTCATTATGGTACTCCTTCTGTCCAATAATAGTTGTTTATTTGAATATAATAAATACATGTTTTGAACAATGTTATAAGGGAATAACTATAATTAATGATATAAAATAGGAATTAAGTATAAAATTATCCATTAATTTCATAAAATAGACAAGTATTATTAGACATTCCAAAATAGTATAGTGGACAACTATTCTTGGACAGAGGGAGTATTAAAAATAGTCATTTTTGTTTAGGGGTGGACATAGTTTGGATCCACTCAAAATCCAAATCGAAATCAGAACCTTTTGGATTATTGAATATCCAAACCGAAATTTAAATTGGATATCTAATTTAAAAATTAAAAATTCAGACCAAAATTAATCACTTTCCTCTAATTAAAATTTATGAACTAATATTGAATTTAAATAAACAGTGGCCATCTATTATATGCCCAAGGAAAAAAAATAATCTTTATACAATTTACTATATAATTAAAAAAATTGGCATGCAAGTGAAGAGGAAAAATAGATCAGAATACTTGTGATATAGCTATAGACACGTCAAACACACACAAATAAGGCCCGTAGGAAAATAGAGCCAATTAAGCACCACATATTTGTTTGTTGTTGCAAAATATGTATTTATAGCATAGATTTTCAGACTCACAGGCCACTGGTAATTTTCTGCATGTAAGCATATCACACATATCCGTCAAAATGTCTTTAGTGGTTGGACTGCTTCATTCTTAATCAGAAGTTTCGTGTTCAAATCTTGGACATGGAGAAAATTATATAGAGAATGCTACCCCCGAATATGCTTTGCAATGCATGATTAGAATTTGATCGAAGCTCTAATATAAGCTCCGAACACCAAATGAGAAACCAAAACAAAAAACAAAATCGACGAAGCAAATTCAACTTAATATGTCTGCATACACACGTGTATAACTATAAGTGCAGCCTACAAACTCCACATACCTTTAAAAGAAACATATTTTTTTTAAAAAATAAATCAACTTCTAATTAGGTAAATATGCTATGGACATACTTTTTTTATTTATAATACGCGGTCATTCAGATCAGCTTACACGTACCATGACTATATTTTTGTTTTTGCTGAGATGTGAACCTTGATCTTTTATATTATATAATTTTCACTTGCTTCATTCATCGACATTTTTGGGTGCCTCTATTAACATACTTATCACGCGCAATTGAAAGAGTTGAGGCGTTTGAACGATCTTGGTGGAGTGAGACTCTTATAAGAACCATAACCCTTGGCCATTTGGCTATTACCCAAACGCCTACTAGGACTAAATAATGGACTACATGATCCACACCCTATTGAATCATCCATCTCTTTGTTATTGACCATATCAGCCAACACTAAATAGAAGTAATCAACATCACAAGGCAACAAAATTGGGCCTTGGCTATAACTATAACCATACTCTTTTTCAGCATCTTCAAGCAATTTCTTGAATAATGGATGGTTTGCATACTTTGTTTTTATAACAAACTTCTCTTTATTTGGCCCAACATAAACCCAAAAACACCCTTCTGGAGCTATTGTACTTGTGCTTCTCCCATGCCATGATTTGCTCTTGGACAAATTTTCTCCACCTACTTTCTTCATTGGTAGATATTTCTCCAACTTCTTAAGCATTTCACCAATATTCATTCCCTCAATAAAACAAATTACAATCAATCCAAAAAACTCTTTGCACACTCAAAACTACGTACCGAGTCACCAACAACAAGACTCTTTCTACTGGCGTGGCGCTGTTGGATGATTCTGATCAATAGAACACGAAAAAGATCATTGGTTTGGTGTGTCAACCTCTATCATAAGCTAAATTGAGCATATATCTCATTTTTATCCTAGTTGGATTGTTCATATATACCTTTTGTAAGAATCTTTCAACTAATTAGGTGAAAAGGTATATATGACCTTTAGCTTATTCAGAGAAGTGTTGGTTGTTAATTTATGATGAAGATAGCAAAGGCCATAAAAAGGATAAGGAAAAATAGATAAAGCCTTAAAAGAGTAAATGACCATATAGGTTGTTCACTGGCCAAATAGATTCAGTCCTGAATAATACTTGCACTTTGTCAACGAAGAAAAAGCCAACCTTTATTATTTGAAAAAAGAAGAAGATGTATAATATATGGTTTTATTAAATTCTAAAATGGTGACAACTTCTTTGTATTCAACACCCCCCACCCCACCCTCAAGCAATGAACAAAAGCGTGAATTAAGTAATAAATTGTATATACCCATCAATAATGGTGCAATGAAATTGCATCGGATATGTTATTGATCTTGTTGTTATTGTACCACTCGATGTAAATGCAGAGCTACATGTGATGTGTACTGTTTTTGTCCCATTTTAAATATCGATTCTGATCTTTTCACGTTTATTAAGAAAAATAATAAATACAAGGTGTAATTTATTAAATTAATTCTTGTTAACTAATGAAGTTATATATATAAGAGATAAGGGTCTGAAAAATACCTCAACTTTGGTCGGATTTGCTGTTGCGATACTAAACTTTCATGAAAACTTATTACCACCCTAGACTATTTAATATCGTATTTTAAACATATATATTTGTCCATGTGGACATAAAAAATAATGCAAAATTGTAAATTGTAATGTGTCCACGTGGGCACATATATACCTTTAAAATACACTATTAAATAGTTCAGGGAGTAAAAAATACGGTATTAATTAGTCTAGGGAGGTAATAGGTCCTTAAGAAAGTTTAGTATCGCAACAGCAAATCCAACCAAAGTTGGGATATTTTTCAGACCCTTATCCCTATATATAATTACCTTTTAAATGAATTAGTTTGATAAATACTTTTTGAATTGTAGATGCATAAATTTTTTAACTCATAAATTATAGTTTATATGTGACCAACCTATTCTAATTTTCTCTGTTATAATAGAATAATAACAATAAGGTGTATGGTTTAATTTGAGTAGCGCTGTAGTGATTTTTGTGGGCGCCATAATGGGAAGGTAGACTGGGAATACGTAAGCGGATTAATTATACTAATTAAGTTTAATTAACAGAAACCTTGTATTATTGTTGAATAATTCCAGCGAATTATTTGGATAAGATATTAAAAAAAAGGTCGGGATCAAGATTCAAATGAATCAATCTTGTTGAAAGGAATAATAAATAAAATGAAAACAAAGTAAAAACTATATTAAAACATCTTCCTGACTTTATCGAATAAATTTTAATTTTAAACATTTATTTTTAAGCTAAAAATCATAAATTATAAGCCCATTGAAAAATAAAAATTCTTTATAAAAATAGTCATTTTTACATATAAAAAATAGTTATTTTTCATATTGAAATCTATTGTTATTTTTATTTTTTCTAATTAAATATAGTAAGTGAACAGAAGACCATTTCATCTTGAACTATTACGTATGTGATGATCGATTACATTAATTAATTAAATACACTTTCATAGTGGGGCCAATGCTCTATTAATTTGAGGATCAAATATTTTATAATTATACCATATGGTTTTGGAGGGCGTTATTTTGCATTGCATATTCGAGGTAATTATAATTATAATTAGTAATAATTCGTCATCATTCATGCTTTTGACAAGTGATTATGTTTTAGTAGCACACGCTATTATTATTAATTATCATTAAAAAATTAATTGGAAGTGTATCGTGTGAGCCATCATCTAATTAACTATTTTATGGAACTAATTAATTCCATTCTTCCACCATGATAAATTGTTTAATTATTCTTTTTTAAAACATTCTTGACAGTTCAAAATAAAAGAACTGGAATTCTTGGTCTTGATTACATTAAATATTTTTTTCTCCTTTGACAATCGGAAAAAGTTCCGATATTACCTACAATAATTTTTCTTTTAATATGTTTGTAACATGAATTATTAGGTCTATGAACTAATTAAATAAATAACATTGTCATCATATAATATTCACAAGTTCGCTTATCTTATCCGAATATTAGTTTTTCTTTTAATATGTATGTTCAATACAAATAAATTAGTAGTAATAATAAACTTGATAATTTAATTGTACGCTCTTTGGAGCTTATATCATATAGTAAATATATATATTTACATATCTAGTGAAATTGAGACTTGGTGGGGAAAGTACACATTAGTGATTAACAAATTATTAAGGATAAATAATTGTAGTCTTATCACTATAGTTTTGAATTATCCTTTGATAGTTAACTTGTATTTAGGAGTTTTAATCTCATGTTAACTCTATCTTATGCATTTCAAATTAAACCTGATGTAAATACTATATATATGTGAATGGAAGATACTCTCAATATATTGAGAATCATTATCAAATTCTCTTTTTTTAACCTAGTAGCATAGCATTCCGCGATTCTTACTTTTTTTTTTTTCCTCAAACAACAAAGTTTCCTTAATATTCAAAGGCACTAGGCTCAATATGCAGATATCTTCACAAAGGCACTAGGTTTGCCTCTTTTTATTCATTTCCAGGACAAGCTCAATGTCCGTACACACTACCGTTGAGGTTCACAAGGGATATTAAGGATAAACAATTGTAGTCTTATCACTATAGTTTTGAATTATCCTTTGAATGATAGTTCACATGTATTTAGGAGTTTTGATTTCATGTAAACTCTATCTCATGTATTTCAAATTAAACCTAATGTAACTATTATATATACGTGAATGGAAGATACTCTCAAGATATCGAGAGTCATTATCAAATTCTCCTTCTTTAACTTAGAAAGTCAAATTTGTAACTCTGATGATTGCGGACTATGTTCTTCAACAAAAGTTATTTTGATTTTTGAATTTGGCAAACTAAAATGGGACTATCATGTATTTAAGGTCAATCAGGTATTTCTTTTGGTTAGCAAATTTTTCGACTCCTTTTAAGGGTGTGTTTTGTTTAGAAGATAATCTCAAGAATATATGTATATAGTTTAGATAAATAATGGGATGCGGTAGGTTTGGGGGTTAAGAAGATGGAAAGGATATAATCAATATAAATTATTATATATGAATTTTTTCTAATTTTACGGGTCATTTAGAAAAAATAAGAATTGAATTAAATGGACTATATGTTAATGAAATGGGGGATTCGTTAGGTTTGAAGGTAATTTTGAAAACTTTTGTTAACGATGGGTTAATTTGTCTACATAGTATAAATTATTGATATTCTTGTTTTCCCCTTCATTTTTAGCTTTTCGATTTAGGAAAACTACACCGTATAGTTATTTATTAAAATAATAGTAAACAAATATATATATATATATATATATATATATATATCATTTCTTAATATTAAACAATATATAGTTATAGATTTAATTAGCAAATTATTTTAATCAATCAACCAAATATACAACTTCGGACTTCCTCCTTGATTTATTGATTTGAAGCTTTAACTATAGAATCAACTTCTGATCCACCAATATTGGGCTGGGCTGACTGTTTATATTTCTTGGATATGGCCCAATCTATTAGCTAGACTAGATGGACAAGAATTGATACATGTATACTGTAGGGGTGTTCACGGGTTGGTTTGGATCGGTTATTGGTCAAAACCAAAACCAAACCAACTTAATCGGTTTTAAAATTATCAAAACCAAACCAAACCAAATATAATATACATTTATCGGTTTGGTGATTATCGGTTTCGGTTTGGTTTGGTTCGGTTATTCGGTTATTAACCATACACAAAAATAAAAGAAACAATTCATTTAAAATGTGAAAAAAGTGACAACAATCCATTCAAACAAAAAAATAGTTAGAATGACTGGCATTACAGAACTTTCGATCATTGAATTTACTGAATAAAACTTCAAAATTCACTATTTTGGCATAGAAGGAAGAGACAATGACATTTTCAGTCCCCCAAAGAATTTCTATAGACACTCATATACATGAAACCAATAAGAAAAATGTTCTCACCTTGAACATTTTTT